GTTGTTTTAAAGTTCCTCCTCAGCCTGGCAATTAAAGTGCCTGCAGACCTGGTTAGTGTGTCACGTACCCAAAAGCAACGTCACAAAACTTTTGCCAATGTCTCATGTTTCAAAAGGTTCAGAGGGCTGAGGAGGTTTGTGCTGGACACTTCTACAGCTAAGCAGAGATGCAACAGAATTCCACCCCATTTTGATGCTGTTTCCCAATCACTCTGCCCCCAGTGCATGCATGCCTCAGTATGTATGGTGACTTACATACAAAACTCATGGCCAAGGCAGAAGTTACTATATGAGTGCTGCAGATGTCAGTCCTCCTTGTTGAAAAGGATAAACCTAGTCAGTACATCTCGGGTTTTCTGCTTGCCAGGTGAAGGATCTGTAGGAACAAAAGTGGCAGGTGAGTTACTCTGTGAGCATGGTTGTAGTGATACACCATTTCAGAATAAAGCCAGCTGCTGTGAACAGCCCTCTCATTTGTTCTAACTTGTTTTTGCCAGCACCTGCAAGCATCAGGGCTGGACTTAAGGCCTCCTCAACATCGCAGATGCTCTGTGGGCTGGGTCAGCACAGCAACTTGTCCATCTGTCCTCAGTAAATAATGCAAATAACTCTGTTCCATTGTCTGGCTGTGCGGATACTGCACAGCGTGGCGGCCATCTGTGCGTCACCGCGACTCGCCGACAGGACCTTTTGGAGAGTGTATTGAGACAAGTGTATAGGCTGCTCTAATGGAGCATTCCCCAGCATTGCTGTATTCTCTGCTAGAGGGATGGCTCAGTGGCATTCAGTCCCTAGTACAGAGGAGCTGGAAACTGTAGTTTTCCATGACTTCTGAAACCAAAGGCTGAAAGAGGAGGACTGCTGATGTTTATTGTTGGGGGTTGTGTGAGACTTGAGGAATACTTAAAGGGGCTGAAAGTCCACTTCTTAGTTGTTGAAGAATTTTATCTGTTCCTACCTTGTCCTAATTAAATACCTTTTGAGTTTATGCTCTGGGAAGATAATGTGTGAGGGTTTTTTTCTTCCCCTCCTACACAGCACAGGAACTGACAGAGGTCTGGGAAGGGAATTCCTACATACTGTTTTTTCTACAGAAATGTCCACCCACTCCCTCCTGCATTTCTCTTCAGATGTTTGCTTGCTGTAGCCATTCCCTGGCTTGTGTTTGAGACAATTTAGGGCTCTGGCTCCCATATTTCCCTTGTGATCTACCAGCTTTTTGCCAGATCCGTGTCACTGGAGTATCAAGATTTGCTTTTTCTATCAGGGCCCAGGCAGTTATTTTCAGGAACTTTTCAGAATTCTTATCTCTTGAGCTGTTTTCTAATGTAGGATACAACTATTCAAATATCTGAGAAACATAATCCAGAAGTCCATGGAAGATCTTAAAAAGAACACAGGTAAGGATACAGAGGGGGAAGGACGTGAAACCAAATGTACAGAGATGAAGAGGCTCTGGAATTTTGTAGCCTAAACCACTTTGTGAGAGTTGAAAGAGTCACTGAACAAACTAACGAGATCAAGCTAACAGGATCACTGAACAAACTAAAGAGGCTTCTGGTGTGTCAGCGTTTCTGGATGAGAAGTTGTCAATAGCCCCCAAAGTTGTCAGTGCTAAAGGTAACTTGGCAAATGACCTTTTGCTGAGCTGGTTCTTGTGCCATTTCAGACGTAGCCATTAAAGTTGGTTCTATGTTTCCATATACATTAGAAAGCTATTGTTCATTTCCTGGTCAGAATCTCCCCTGGGTATTTTTATTCTCCATTAACATTCCTTCTGGGGATTGGATTTGTGTCCTTTGCTTCCTGTCCTGTTCCTGTTCCGATGTTAATCAGCTGTTGTGTTCTATTCCAGTTACATGCTAGCCATGTTGGTGTTTCTTGGGCAATGCTGATCTCTCCTGGCTTTTATAAAAGGTTTAGGGAAGCTAAGCCACTCTTAACACAGCCAAGAGAGCAGATAATAAAATGCATACTTAAGGATATGGAGTTCAGCTGAAATAGGGGAAATATGGGATCTTTGTGTTGTGGAGAGGGAGAGTGGGACTGTAAGAAAAGTGCAATTTTGATTACTTTTAAGAGAGGGTGCAGGATGCAGTGGATATGACAGACACATGATATGTCCGGTGATATTTACAGTCAACAAGAACTATGTAAGTCTGTAGAGTCTGGGGATTTAATTTTCTCTGGGAGCATGCTAGGTGTTAAGTAGGGCTTGTTCCATGGACTATTTGCTTTTCAACAGCTAGCATGGTCCCTTTTCCTTGATAGCTAATGGAATTGTTCTCATGCAGGGAACAGAGGTTTCTGCCTACCAGTCAAGGTGAATTGGTATGGAAGAGCAGGAATTAGCAATAGTCCTCCTGAAACTCAGTTTTAATCCAAGAGTCACTGTAATGCCATTACTCAGATCTGAATCATGAGCATTAATGTACAGGCAGAACTGAAATGTGAGTTTCTGCAGTAGGAGCTCTCATCTTTTTATTTTAAAATGAACTTTAAAGTAGCCAGCAGCAGAATAGATCTGAGGGTACTATGAGATGCCTTCTTTGAACGAAAAAAAACGCTCTCATTAAATGTTAAAATGTCTTTAAATAACTTTGCAGTCCTTTCCCACCGTACTTGGCACCAGCAGTCTACAGGTCCTGCTTTTAACTTCATGCATCTTGTTGGTCCGTCCTGACCAAGGCCTGTCGATGCGTTTATTGCATCGTACCTCTTGCTGGTTAGTGCCCTTGATCAGCCTTACTGCAGCAGCTTCTCCTGCAGCCTGGCTTGAGATGTGTGCAGACAAAGGTTGGCTCTATCCATAAGCACAGGAAGGCAACTGGATGAGCTCCTCTCTTGAGGATGATGCTAGGGAAGAGTCAGTGTTGCCTCCTAAAGCAGGATGTGCCCATGTTCTGTACTGGGTATGCGTTCGGAGTGTAGGCTGGCCCACACAGAGTGAAAATGCTGGGTTAGCTCTGGTGTTCAGATAGGTGGCACAGGACAGTAGCAGCATTTTTTTTTTCACATGTGCATAGTACATTTGGAGTTTTTTGGAGTACAGTGACTCTGTGATAGCCAATGAATGTTTCTGAAGCATTGCATTAAAAGCATGTGACTGAGGTTGTGTAATGGAATCTATTTTCTCTGCCATAAAATTGTTTTGGTTGGAAAAGACCTTTAAGATCATCAAGTCCAACCATTAACCTAACACTGCCAAGCTGTCTCTCTGAATAAAAAGCAAGGTTAAAGAAATGCTGGTTTGAAGAGGAAAAGGCTAGGAAGATGACACGGTGGCTTGGATAAGAAACATTCTTTGCAACATTATCACCGTATTTCTGTTGAGGATGGGAGACTGCTGCCACTGAGCACTGGTATGCAGGCTGTTTTATATAGTCAGAAGAGGCAATGCAAGGGAAGGTCATAGTGAGGAAAACCCTGTAAGTCCTCTGCCTCTTTGCAGGGAATGTTCAGCTTCTGCCACAGCAAGCAGGCAGAAACTGTGTGCATCCTAGAACCAAAGCTTTGTGTTAGCTACAAGGTAGCCTCAAGCGACTTAGAGAGTATCAGAAAGACAGTAGGTGCCTACAAATGTTGCTTTTTTTCCTTTGGTACTTTCCCTTTTTGTCCCAATGTTCCTTTTTGGACCTTTTTTTGTGTGCTATGGATCTCTTTCTTGTAATTGGAGACAGTGATGCTGATGGAACGTGTTGTGGTTTTCGCTTGGCATGCCAAGTGGCTGTTGGTTCTCTGAGCTCTGTATGGAATAGTCTGAAGCAATTCTGTTCTAGGTCACATCTGTTCCTGGTGTGTGGTGAAGGTTTTGCCTTTCTCTTTGCCTGTTCTGCTGCATTCAGTCATTGTCACTTCACTCCCTCACTGTGAAGAGTAAAGAGGTTGTGTGTGTTTTGTCCTTATGAGGAGGTGGAGGAATCCTCAGATATTTGTATTAACAAAGCAAATTGTTAGGTTTCCACTACAGTCTTGTGACCCGTTTTCTTGGAAGATGTGACTTGCTGATGCTGATCATTGTGAGCCTATGCTTTGTAATCTTCAATGAGCAGTTCCAGTGAAGCTGTAACTGTCAGTGAGCTTAGAAATAAGATTGGAACTACAGTGGGTAGTAGCTAGAAGACAGTAGAATTGGAGCTACTGCAGATGGTGGCCTGCTAGGAAGAGGACTGTAAATGTTAAGGAACATTACTGATGGGAGATGGAAACGGCAGATAAAAGGGACCAGGAGGTTAAGTTTCCTCTTGTATTACAGTGCTAATTAGAATAGCTCAAGAGCTGCCTCTTGCTGTAGCTCCAGGCTAAAGCTGAGCTTCTCCAGGGTAGTCAGAATGTGGACTTGACAGCAAGCTCCTTCAGAGAGAGGCTTGTGAACAGCGTGGTGAGCAGAACAGGTGCTGCCTTCTGTCTCTGTATATTTCCTGTATCTGTTTCTGCTTTGGGGCACAAGGTGTGTCTGTTCTGCAAAGTATCTGCTGCCCTCTGAACAGAGGTGTGGTGAATTGAGCCACCTTAGGATTTTCTCTCTGTGGTAGCAAAGGATGCTCAGGTATTGTGGGCAGGGAGGACTTAACTGTGCTGTTCAGTGCAGGGAGGTCTGCTCAACAAGATTAGGTTGGTGTGGCGGGGTGCTCGGAGTGGAATGGCAGGCTGGGTTCCTGCTGTTGGACAGGAATGCAGGTGGAAGCAGTGACCCCTGGAGCCATCTAGGAAAAAATAACTGCCTTTCAGAGATCAGTTATTGGTCTGCACAGGCATCCTGCTCAGTGGAGAGATAATTAAGAGACCTACCTTTTCTGGGACATGGTGAAGACAAAGGAGCTTAATTCACTGGAGGGTCCTGGTATTAGATGGCATCCTGATGGTGCAGCAGTTTGCTGCCGACTCCTGCCCTGGCACCCAGTCGTGGGTTACTCTGAGCATGCCTGGCTGTTTCCATGCCAGGCATGGTAACACAGGTGATAGGTGACTGACACCAAGTTTCCTTTCTCATGTTTCAGGAGCTGTTGGCCAGATGCTTCTGGATGCTGACAGGGGAAAGCTGATTCGGAGACGAGCGGCCAGAGATGTTTGGACACGTCTCTCACTTTGGATCTGTAAGTCCTTGTTTGAGGGAAAGTTGCCCGGAGGCGCTGTATTTAAGTGTCTCTGGAAATTCTCAGATCATGAGGGTAGGTGTCAAACCCAGGTATCTTTTCCAGGGAAGCGAGGATGAGAGATGGCAGGTAGTGTAGTTGCTGGCTGTGGGGTAGGAAGCAGGACAGCCCTGTTTGAGCCTGAGGAGCTGTGTGCTGAGAGACAGGGAGTGCTTTGGTGTATTCATTCTGAGCACCTCTGCAATGGAAACATACGTGAACCCATGGGTTCCTGGAAGCCTCTGCTCATCTGCCAGCCCTTACGGCTGATGCTTTTGCCTTGATGTTGAACCAGCTTCTGCTGGGAGCTGGTGGAAAAGCAAATTCAAACTATGCTGACCTGATCCTTCCTGGAGGTGCACATTCTTCCCCTCTTTCTTTCTCCCCCCGTACTTTACAGTTTGCCCCACAGAGCAGTTGTGCTGTTGTGGAGCTGTTTTTTCCTGTGCTAGTCAGGACCCGACTACTGCATTGTAGTAAGGAAAGGGGCCAGACAGCTTGTTGGGGCAGGGCCAGCACTGGGGCACCTCTTCAGTTTGTTTTGGCAAAGCTTGAGTTTGCGTGGTCCTGGTTGCCTGCCTGTTCCATTCACCCTCGATCTGGCTCTCCCCATGTGTGTACAACTGCTCCACACCCTGCGCTCCTGCCCTGCCTCCCAGGGCTTGGTGCCATTGGCAGGGAGAAAGCAGCACAGCAGCAGAAGCACATCAGGGAGGGGAAGGGGAGGCTCCATTGCAGTCCCTCTTGTGCCAGCGATGGCCACAGAGCGACACTCTTGACACCTGGCTCCCAGATCAACCCAGTTCTCTTCATCTCCTGATGGGTACCTTGGGCTTTGAGCAGAAAGGAAGGTTGTTTCTGAGCTTCTTTTGTGTCCCCGAGTGGCTGGACACTATTTTGCAGAAGCCTGTTAACAGCAAGATAGAGCATGGCATGGTGCTTGCTGGAAGCAGGAGAGCAGCTCGCCTTCCTCTCACCTAGGTGTGGGTTATCGCAGCTGGAGGCACAAGGATGTAATCTTTTGGCTCAAACAAGAATCTGATAGTTTCCAACTCATTTGTAGGTAAGAAGCACTGACTTAAAGGCACCAGTGAGGTAATTGTTAGCAGTACCAAGCTTCTGTACCGAAGGCTTCACAGTTAGCATCCCTCTGCAGTACCAAGGAAGATGAGCTGGGAGGGTTCCATTCCACAGGAGGTTTGTTTAGTGCTTCCTGGAACCAAGGTTCCCTTGAAACTATTGCTTCGTGAATTTTGAGTTTGAGTGGCCCCACTTGACTGCATGCCTTGGTCATGTCTTTGCCAGATGCCTTTCCAGCTCTCGCTGAGCTACATGGCCCAACTATCCTAAGCTAATTTCATTCACTTTCAGAAGATGTGATGTGGATTGGGGTAGGTACCCACAGTGAGATGACCATCCAGTTATCCTTGGTTATAAACATCCCTTATTCCTTATGTATTTCTGTGGGAGAATTGAAACTGTCTGTTTTGATGAATGCTAAGCTGCTATTTTCTGCTCTTCAGGTCATCTGAGTGAGTGTCGCTACTTCATGAGGCTTCAGATTTGACCCCAGGCTGGTAAGTGCTCAGGTCCCTATGGACTGGAGAGATTATTCTGATTTCAGCTTGGCATATCTCCATGTGCATCTCCTGTCCTTAGCCTAGCAGGAATTGACAGAAGAGTCCCCTAGATCACCTGTTTGATGATGAGGTGTTGACAAAACTGCTTCTGGTCAGGATTTCAGCATTCCTCTCTGAAAAAGAGGAATGTCTTCCCAGCAAGTCAGACCCATCTGTTTTGCTTGGGGATCCAATGGAATGTGCATTTGGTATGCTGGATGTGATTTTTCTAGAATAGTAGAGAAGTCTTCACCTACTTGAGTTGTTTTAGGAGAAGTGACCTTGAGGGAACAACTGCAGCAAGGGAGACTTTCCAGCATTCTGATGGTGGAGATTTACAGGTTAGTCCTGGGAAGTTGTTCATGTCTGTGGAAAGATGTGAGAAACTTTTGTGAGCTTCTGCCTTTAGCAGAGTGGAGAACAGCTTGCAAACGTCCCAGTCAAGTGTAAGGCCTCTTGGGGCTTGGAGCCACTCTGTGCTTGGTGCAGACACCTCACACTTGTGAAGTCCTCAGAGGGGACTTGATCTAAGTGACCAAAAGATGCAGCTAGGCAAGAGTGGATAAGAACTGGAGAGAATTCTTGGGGCTCTATTCAGACACTTAACATGTAAAACTCCACTGACCAGAACACAAAGTCAGTGAAGCCTGCTGGGTCAATGGCCCAGTGATATCCATCGACTGCCTTGAAGGTATGTGAGTGGGAGTGAAAGGGTCCTGCCTGTAGAAGAGGACAGAGGGTGATCAGAGTTAAGGCAGGTCCTGCACTTTGAAGTGCTGCAGGTCAGGTGCCGAGGATTGCAGAGATGCTAGGCTTGATCAGTGATAGGATCCAGCAAGGGAAAGGGGAATGAGAAGTGGGCAATTACCCCAGATACCGGGGGACTATGAATGGTGCTTATGTTTTGTTGGGCAAAGTCTTATTGGACTCTGAAGGGATTGCTTAGCATCTTGGAGGCTTCTTGTCTTGTGTACAATGGGGTGGTTAAAATCCTGTCTGCTTGAGGGAAGATCTTCCTGCCTTCCACTGTGGTCCCAAAGTGGTGGAAAAGAGGGAGATTCTTCCATGTGTACAAGATAGCTGTTCTCCTTTTACTCCATTGTATTTTCTTGTACTGCTGCTGCTCCTGCAGGAGGAAGAATCCTGCCCAGAACAGCTCAAGTAAAGGGACTAGTCTGGTCTTTCCACTAGTGGTATGGCTGCGTGTTGCCAAATCTGGCCTTCGGTACCAATGTCAATGGCACTGCTCCCTAGTTTGATGGCACCCCTGACTTGGGGGGGTGGTCTTTGTTTTTTCTGACAGAGTGAGCAGTTGTAATGGTATGGTACCTCCTCCTGTGGTCTGCTCCATTTGGGTTCTGGTGTAAGCCAAAACCTTCTGGGTTTGGGTTCTTTAATGGCTGGAGTCTCCTCCCAACATGGTCCCTGCTGACAGTGACAGCACATGATCAATAACTCCTGCTCCAACTGTCACTGCTGCCTGTAAGGCTGGCAGTTTCCATATTGGAAAAGGCCTTTCCTAAAGAGCCTAATCAATATGCTGCTGTGAGGTCTGTTCTCGTTTGCTATATATAATCTGGACACACACAAACTACGTGAGTGAGTGTGTGCGGAGGGGGAGGATGTGCCAGCCCTCTGCTCTCACTGGCTGGGAGAAGGACACAGCTACCTCTTACTTTGCACCCTCTCCTGCAGCTGCTTCTCCAGGATTGTGGCCATCTCCTTTCCCTGCTCTGTTAGCACTCTGCATGGGGACCTGTTCTGGGACTCCAGGGTAGCCGGATTCCGGCTGGGTCGCTTCTAGGGCTCGATGGAGCACCCGTGACACTTTCTTCTGTGCACTTTCTGCCGTTGGTAGGTAACCTGCTTTGGGAGCTGCGCAGGGGGGAGGATGTCGAGCTCAGCTCCGTCGAAGAAGCCTTACCGCAAGGCACCGCCGCAGCACCGCGAGATCCGCCACGAGGTGCCCATCCTTCGTGACGACCAGGATGGAGTGATCTTGGCCGAGCAGAGTCAGGTAACGGCTTGCCGGGTGGCAAAGGGCTTAACGTCATTGCAGCAGCAAACGGGGTTTAGTTACACCGAGGCAGGCCAGTTCGAGCAGGCAGAGGGGTTTGAGGTTTGCAACCTGAACTTCTCCTCGTCGTGGTCCTTGGAGTCCAGCAGTGAGAAGGAAGTGACAGGGTGCAAAGCAGAGTTGAACATCAAGAGCCAGACTGTCTCGCCAGCACTTCCACGTGGTGGGAAGATGGGGCGGCGAAGTGGGAAGCGGTGCCCAAACCGTAGTCGTGGGCACCTCAACAAATTTGTGAGCCGTAGCATGGAGACGGTTGTGGTGTCTGGAGACAAAAGGCACCACCCCACTAGCTCTTCCAAGAGCAGAAGCCTGGAACGCTCGCTTATGTTTA